GTCTGCAGCATTTTTTCCCAAGCAGGAAACATTTCACAGCTGCACGCTCTTCTCCTACATCATCCATAATAAAAAATGAGGTTCGAGCGAAACTGCTTTTAAGAAAACATTCATGTGACCAGAGAGAACCTTCCCAGACAATGTCACTGGGTGCACTAACTCAGAGCGAGTTGCACAATGCTCGCTTAACAGAAAAATACATACTATGAAAGCTCTTTTCTACCCAGCACAATTTTGGTTTTAGGGGGGTACCCCCTCGCATATGGTATTTATTTAGTTTCTTTTTTGACATTCATTTTTATTTCCTAACTCTGCTATTTGCAATAGTGCAACCAACATACCTATACATTTAACTTTTTGAATTTTCTTATCTTAGGACATATTCTTGGAAGTAGAATTAATAGAGCAATGGGGATGCACAATTTTATGAAGTGCATTATTAATCTGCATGGTTAATATACATGTCCAAATTGTTCTCAGTGACACATTTGCCACACAGTGACATTTAAAGAGTCCTTGCTGTCCTTGACCCAGAATCAGAACCCATGAATACAGTGGTGTAGAGATCATTAAGAAGTGACCGGCTCTCTTTTCCCTTTGACGGTTTTTTTCTTTCTGTTTTTTTCCTATACAATTTATCCAACTCCTAGTTTACTTGATTCACTTCTTCTTTCTGGAGGTTTTTGTTTTGAAAGTTCTCAACCCTTCTTTCCACATTTAATAGGGGAACTAATTGCTATACCTTTTAATGTGCTGACTAAAGTACATGAAGAGTAATATTTCAAATGGTTTGAAATATAATAAAAAAGCAAATAGAATAGCAATATTGTTAGCACACTTTGAGCAACTATTGGGCTGCAATTTGGGGGTAAGTGCATCATTAAGACACATACAGCTGTTTTTTCTAAGAAGGTTAAGGTCAAGTAGGGATGCCTCACATCTAAATAGGAATTCTGCTAGAGGGTGATGGAGAAATATAGACCAGAGAATGTGAATCTACTGACAGGAGAGGAAGGCTTCCTGGAAGAAGTAACATTTAAGGTGAGGACAGAGAGATGGTATGGTACAAAAGGGCAATGCAGCCGTCAATGGAAAGTCAATCAGACAGAACAGAGGAGTGAGGGAGAAGAAAGCTGAGGTTGGAGAGGAACACAGAGGCCAGATCATGCCGCATCCATGCAACATCTTGGAAGTCACACTCCAGATTCCATTATCACTCTACAGGCCATGAAAACTCATCCAGTGTTGTAGACAGGGCATTGGCAGCAGCTGCCCAGCACTCTGGAAAGATGATTCCAGGAGCACTGTGGGGGATACAATAAAGGGGCAAAACCATAGCCAAAGAAATGTCTGCGGGATACTGACTGCACCTGAAGCCGGACTAGACCTCTTCTGATCCTAAACATCCCCGAAGGTAACTGTTCAGCCTTTCTCTAGAGATGGTGGGTCTCTTGATGCTGAGTCTCTAGACTCTAGCGTCTCACTCTCTAGAGTCTAGGATGCTGAGGCTCTGAGAGCTACATAAATTACTCAAGATCACACAGCTGGAGTCAGAACTCCAGTCAACATCTGACTATCTGCTCACATGCCAGATTTTCTAAGACTAAGGACTCGTGGCCCTAATGGCAGCTCGGGCCAAGCTCCAATTCACATCTCAACAGTTCTGTGACCTGAGCTCTTATCCCAGCACTGGACTCATAAGCAAGGAGCAGCTGGCAGATCAACATTCATCTAACTGCTACCCTAAGCTTATGTCCGACACAAAAGTAAACCAATAATTACAAGAGCAATGTGTACTAGTACATGGGTTCTTGCCCCTGAATATCAATCTGCTTCTTCTATTTCCTCCACATCTCCACTTAGGTGTCCAACAGATAGAGCAAATGGACACATCCTAAAACAACTCCTGATTTTCCCTTCTAAACATA